CCCCACACACACACACACCTCCCGCCTGCCGTCAACCCTGTGACCACCCGCCCCCCAGCCTCGATCTGGGCATCACCCGCATTGACGGCGCACAGAAGCACCACCTAAAGTACCGCTTCAGCAAGGCGGGCTTTGTCGGCATAGAGGACCATGCAAAGTGGTGCGCACCCCGGCCGCGGTCCAAACCTGGTTCAAATTTGGGTTGAAATGTGTGACATGACGAACACCACGGGGGCCCGGGCCACTCGTTGATTTCGACGCGTTGCGCTTGCCGCATTTGCCGCTGTGGGGCCCGGCCTCCTGTGCCGCCGGCCACCCTTCCCAGCTTTCCCCGCGTCCAGAGCCCGCCTCTCTGGCCTGCCGAAAATTGCGTTTTACGACTTGCAGGAAGTATCTTGTCAGCGCGGACGGCTGCGTGGCCCAGACGCGGCTGGCCAAGGTGATGGTGTCCAACAGTGTGGTGCTCAAGGAGGAGAGCGACTGGATAGAGTTCTACTACAGGTGAGAGCAGAGGCCCTGGGGTGTGAAGTTTGCGGTCAAAAGCGACGGTGATGTCGGTGGCGAGGAAGTGCAGGAGTTGACTGTGTTGGGTTTGCATGTGCGTATGTGTGTCCGCGCGTGCACGTGTGTGAGTGTGTGTGCGTACGCGCCGCGCACGCGCATGTGTGTGTCCATTACAGAACTTCACGCGTCTGTTTCTTGAGCCGGACTTCTAGGGAAGCATGCCTGGCCCGTGCTGCATCCTGCGGGATTGCCGCACATTGCAACCACATGCGCACCTGCGCGGCCACGTCCTGACCTTAGCTGCCTTGCATATGCCTCAAGATTCAACAATATGAAGTCCGATCCTCTGCTATCAAACATACTTTCCCTACCGCTCCATACCGCTGTCTCCAGGTCCCTCCGGCCCTGGAAGCACTACGTGCCGCTGACCCATGGGGAGGGCGTGGCGCGGGAGATCCTGGGGCTGGTGCGGCGCCTGCAGCGCGACGACCGCCGGGCGCGGCAGATCGCGGAGACGGCCCAGAAGTGGGCCTACAGGTGCGTTTAGGGGGGAAAGCTCGGTCACTTGGGCGCGCACGTGGGCACGGCGGGCTACGTGCGTCTTGAACGGCCGCATGTATGTGCGTGTGTGTGTGTGTGTGGTTTCTTCCTGTGTGTATTTGGGCGTGTGTGTGGGTGGGTGTTTTGGTGGAAGCGGTACAACAATTGGTGCGTGTGTGAAGCGCATCCTGCCGTGGAAGCATGCATCCGGGCTCAGAGCTTCGCGCCACGAGCCGCCAGCCCACCGCTTGCAAAGGCGGCCACGCCGCCGGGCTGCGTGCGACCGCCGGGCTCAGCTGAGAACAATGCCTGCGCTCGACCCCGAAACTCCCGCCCGGCAGGTACCTTCCCAACTACCCGCGCCTGCTGTACTTCCGGAAGACGCTGGTCGAATACAACGCCCTGTTCAAGGGCCGGATGGAGGCGTGGGTGCGGGAGATGGGGCCAGAGGCCCTCTTCCCGTCGGAAACAGACATTGACGCGGCAGAGGCCGGGGCGGCCGCGGGCAAAGCAAGCCCAGCTGTGGCCGGGGCTGGCGGCGGCGCTGAGCTGATGACGGAGGCGGAGCGCCAGCGGCTGCAGCAGGCGCAGCGGCGGCACCGCCGGCGGCGGCGGCGGCAGATGACGCGGGCGGCGGTGGAGGGGCTGGCTGCACCCGCGCAGGGCGGCGGGGGTGGCGGGGGTGGCGTTGCGGCAGGCGGCAGCGGGGACGGGGCGTGGCGCTTGCTTGGGGGCCGGAGGGGGGTTGTCGGTGGCGCAGCGGCAGCCGCAGCTGCAACACGCTCGGCCAGCCCTGCGGCGGCCAGCGGCGCAGCCCCTGCAGCCGTGCCAGCTGGCGGCAGCAAGCAGGCGCCACACTGAGTCGTGGGACTGGCCGTGCAGCGGTGCGGCATGCCTACAGGTGCATGTGGTGGGTGTCGCGGGGCCCGTGCCTCCATCCCCCTCCCCACCTCTCGCAACAGTGCCGCGGGGCCGCGGTGGGCGTCTTCCGGCCGCGCCGACCCCTGGCGCGCGCCAGCGGCGACTGGTCTGCATCGCGGGGCGCCCCTTGAGATTCCACACCCGCGACTCAGCCTGCCCAAGACACCTCGGGGGTAGCACCGCCGCCACACTTCGGCGGCGGTTGCACTTGCAGCTGCGGCTGCAGGCAGGCGGCAAGCTCCCTGGCCCCTCCCCCCCTTGCCAGGGGGGCCCTATTGGGAAGCCCCACCGATTTGCCGCTTTGCGCGAAGCGAGCGAGCGACGGCCCGGGGCACGAATGCGACCCAGGGTCCGTGTTTACTTGGAGACCGTTTCCGCCGCGCCCTCCGCGCATCTCTGTTTGCAGCGCCGCCGCTGGGCACAGTCAGATTCCGGGGTTGTTTTGGCGCTGTCCTGCTCGGGGCCTGATTATGCAGGCAGTTGCCTCCGGCTCATTGCTCGCCGCCGTTGTGTTGCCGCCAGGTCAGCATCTGCCAAAGGCGCTGGTCTTGACCTTTCGAGTTGCCAGTCACTGCGCTGTCCATACATCAGAGCTGCCTGACTAGCATGCTGCCCCCCCCAGCATGGTGCATGCATGCGTTTTGCCCTGTGTACTGCCCGTGCTTTGTGCGTCACGTAGAGAGATCAAATCCGTGGGCTCTGGCACACCACGCCCCCACCATCCCCAACTGCCCCTAGGCCCCGCCGCCCGGGTGCCACCGCGTTTTTTGTTGAACCCCGGGCGCCTGCGGTGCCTGCCCACCTTCTTTGTCATCCATCCGCGGCTGAGACACGCCGCGGGCCTGCCATCTCCTTGCCCGGCCATGCGGCAAACAGACTGTACTGCCGCCTGCGCCCCTGCTAGCCGTGGCTCTCTTTTGGCGCGGCACCTGGCCTGCTGTGGCCTCCAGGCAGGGGCCACCCTAGCAAATCTTGAGCAGCATGTTGCGCAGGGGTTTAGGGATGCTCAGACCCTAGCGTGTTTTATCGCGCCAGGGTTTAGCTATGCTGCGGACCTAGCGTTGTAACGCCATTTCATGACGCTTGCGCTGCACTTGAAGGCGCTTGAGTCGCATGTGTTTGTGGGGTATGGGGCAGCCCATGGAGGCAGCACCCCCTCATGTCTGGGGCATGACAACAGACCCTTTGCGACACCACCCCACGTGGGCAAGACTCCCTAATCGTTCCTCAACGTGTCCCCTGGAGCTCCTCAGCTTGCGAGCCAGCGGGACCTCACAAATCAATAGATAGTCCTTACCCCTCCCCTACAGCTCCTTACAGCAGACCCCCAAGGAAAGATTAAGGAAAACAAACCCCTTTTGTTGCAGTGCACCCACACCAGAGGTAGCAGCCTTTCCAAGGAGATTACGCACATCTACACCTTTAGTAATGCCCCTTCGCCTGCCCGGTGGCGGTTGCAGGCTGGGGGTTGCAAGCGCTTCTGCCGCTGAAGGCTCGCATGCACAATCGACCTCCACTCCTGCTGTGCTGCAAGACAGGACACTTGCATCGGCAGATCCATCTCGCAAGTCGCCCTGCATGTTGGTGTGTGTGCGCATGTGCATGTGCGTGTGTGCGTGTGTGCGTGTGTGCGTGTGGGTGTGTGTACACATGTGCGCATGTGTGCAGCACATCGAGGCACAGGAGAATCGCTTGGTTGTGTCTGCACTCAGATTGCGGTCAGGTGGATGATCCAGCAGTATCCACCCCTGGTTGGTCCGGCGTGCCTTCGAACAGTGCTGAACGATGTGACACAAATCTGCAATTCCAAACAATATACAGCTGGGACGTAGGCGTCGGCAGCGGCGGCAGCGGCATTCATTCGTGCCGCGATCGATGCAGTGCTCAAGGCTGATGTGGGTCGCAAGAGGGCAGGGAATGACCCGGCCGGGCGGATGTGAATCCAAACAAAACCTGCCTGTGGCTGGCATCGTGGTATCTCTTGCTCTGTGTGTAGCGTGCGCGCAGGCAGGGCCAGATTAGGCTAGATATTTTGCATGTAGATCTGGTTGACTCATGCAGCAGACGGTCAACCGAGCCATGGCGCAGCAGTGGAGCGGAGGCAGGGAGGTGGCGTGCAGTGACGATGCTGCGTGCTTCAGCACCATTTGGCTTTGCATTTGTTTCTTTTCTGTAGCCCTTGCAAGGCTGGCGGCGAAGCTGCTAAATTGCCTCTCCTGTTTCAGCTCGTTCACGAACCTCAACCGTTCCTTACCGGCCGTAAACGGATATCAGGGCAGTTATCCTTGCGTTCTAGCCCCCGTGTATACGTCCAGGGCTCTGAGTTGCGATACTACCTGCCTGAGCAGCTGAGCTGCGTGTCGTCTAGACGGCCCCTGAGAGCCTCCAAAACATTGTGTTAGTACATTCAGGAAGCATCTGAGACGGCTGGGTGCGCCACACAGCTCGTGGCATTGACCCAGTGCGCAGCGCATTCGCTGCACGTAGCACAGGAGCGCCGCGCACCTGAGTGCGGGCGCACCCATCTTCTGCTGCGCAAGCAGCAGCGATGGGTCAGAAATCCAAGGGCGGCAAGGGCTCGAGCCCTGGTGCTCAGGCAGCGGTGAGCGTGCGGAAGTTTTGCGCGTGCACGCGTGTGTATGTGCCATGTCGCGCGCGCTCGCTGGTGCCGCAATGAGGTCACGCTGCATCCCATCCTTTGCGCTCTTGCTATATCCAAACCCACGCCAACCCGCACATCAATCTCTGACCACGCATGCGCCCCTTCCCTCCACCCAAACATGACCCCACTTCGTCAACTCAGGGCGCCGCCAAGCCGATGGCTGCGGGGCCAGCCATGCTGGCAGAGCTGCAGCGGCAGGCCAAGGCAGCTGAATGCGAGCGGGCCCTGCAGAAGGCGCGAGAGGATGAGAAGAAGCTGGACAAGAAACAGCAGGTTTGTGGGTGGGGGTGCGTGCTTGAGGGAGTATGGCAGGCAGCACGCGCCAGCACGCTACAATGTGCGTTGCGTCAGGCCGGTGCAAAGGGGTGCAGGCACGCGGCATCCGCGCTTTGCACGGGCGGCCCCGGACGATGGGGCACAAGCATGGGCAAACTCGGAGCGTTGCCAATCTGAAGAGATGGAAAGTTCTTGCAAGGCCAAGCTGTGCCGCCGGCCCGCCGCCAAGAAGCTCATCATTCATCCTGTCTGACACGCCACCACCTCTCACCCACACCCTCCGCCACAGCCCCCGCAGGCGCCCGCCGTCGGCCCCGCGCCACGCCGCGGCGGCTGCCGCAACCCAGGGACCACCTACCGATGCTGGATGAACAGCACCGTCCAGCTGGTGCTCAGCAGCGACTGCCTGGACGCGCTGGCGCTCGCCCCGCCCGCGCGGGGCGCGGGCCCTCCGTACGTGGCCGTGCTGCGCGCGCTGCAGCGCGTGCGCGCCGACATCCTCAGGTGGGCGGCCTTTGATGGAGAGGGCTTGGGGTTTTGAGTTTTTCGAGGGTTTAGACAAATCGCCTGTATGTACAGGAGAGGCTGCTCAGCAGGCTGTCAACCCCCCCGCTGTCACCCCACGCCTTGGTGACTGCGCCGCGGCGTCCCCCGCGCTGCTGCTCGTGCCGTGCATTTCAATCAACAGACTGCATCTCATGCTAGCCTGCCACAGGGCATCTGTCAAACCCCCAAATCGACACACCCGCCCTCCCGCTCCGGACGCCCCCCGCTCCCCATCAATCGCCGCGCCCGCAGCGGCGCCAAGGCCGACACGGGGCTGCTAAGCGGCGCGCTCTACGCGCTGCACGCGCTGCACCCAGGCATGGGCCTTGACGCCTTCGAGCCAGGCATGCAGGGTGACCCGAACTTTGCGTTCGGCGCGCTCATCAACGCCCTGCGCATGGCGATCGGCGTGGCGCCCGTCGCGGCCGCGCTGCGCGCCACCGCGCGCGGCCTGGCCGGCTGCGACGCGCGGGGGTGCCGCGGGCGGGTGGTGGTGCGGGGATCGGTGGACTTCGGGGTGCGGGTGGATGTGACGACGGCGCCTGACCTCATCACCGCGCTCAAGAAGGGCGTGTCGGCGAAGTACGCCTGCCGCTGCGAGCGCGCCAGCCCGTGCGCGTGCGTGGAGTGCGCGGCGAACGGCGCGGCGGCGGCGGCGGCTCAAGGCACATGCGGCCACAGCGGGGTGAGTGGGGCACGGGCTTGAGTGTCTGCATGCGCGTGCGCGCGCCGGACTCGCTTGTGCTTTGGGCTGGGCATCCGTGATTTGAGGCCAACTGAACATATGGGCCGCAAAAGCGCCAAACCCACCGCCGCTTCAGGCTGCTGCTCGTTTGCGGCCCGGGCATCTTGGCCGCCGGCGCAGGCTGCATTTTTGCAGCCGTCGTGCAATCCGCCCAACCTCGGCGCCGCACCGCCGATACCCACATAACATATCGCTGAGCCGCCCCCTCCGCCTTCCGCCGCCGCCGCCGACCCCCCCCCCACCCCGGGCTGCAGGTGGATGTGCTCCCCGTCGAGAGCCTGCCGCCCCTTCTGTGGCTCCGCCTGGAGGGCGGCGCGCAGCAGCCGCACCCCAACTTCATCTCCCCCGCCGACCATCAACGCCTGGTCAGCGACAACTACCTGAAGTTTGAGGTGGACCTGGCCGCGGTCGTCGCCGGCGCGCCGCCGTGCGCATCCAAGGTGTACCGCCTCCGCAGCGTCGCCTTTGCTTGCGGCGCCCACTTCAAGGCCGCCGTCGCGCGCGGGCCGCTGCGCAGCGTCGACCCGCGCGGCAGGGGCGCCGCCTGGGAGGTGGCAGACGACGAGCATGTGGGGCCCATCGGGGACGGCTCGCACGCCGCGATGGTGCGCTGGGCTCAGGGCGCCAGCAGCGGGGACGTGCGGATGCGCCCGGTGGCGATGGTCTACGAGGCGCCAGACGGGCGCCCGTTCCCTGCGCCCGCCATGGCGCCCGCGGCGGCGCCCACGGCGCCAGCGCCCGCAGTGGCATCCGCGGTGGCGCTTGCGGCCGCGCCCGCCACGGCCCTTGCGGCGCCGGTGCGCGCCGGGGCGGTGGTTGTCGGCACCGGCAGCACGCGCCCGCGGGCAGCTGCGCCGCCCGTCCTGGCGGCGGTGATGGCGGCAGCGGCGGCGCGGCCCCAGATGACGCCGGCTGCGGCGGATGAGGATGCAGAGTTTGCGGCGGCCCTGCAGCTGTCACTGAAGGAGGCGGCGGCGGCGGCGGCGCTCAGGGACGCCCGGGAGGCGGAAGCCGCACAGGTGGGAAGGGCAGCGCGCCAGACAAGGGTGTTCCACGTGCTTCCTACGGGATTTGCAGCATACTTCGGGGGTTCCCAAGTCTTGATCCTCCCGCCTCCGTCAGTGACACAACCAGCAGATTTGCACCTGTCCTGACCGGCTCTCTAACCGTCCGTACAGTAGATCAGAGCCGGAGCACCCCAAGCTTACCCGAAGCTCGCACAAATCACAGACCACACAACCATAACAAAAAACCAACTAAACCATTGCAAACACTGCAATGACAGGAGGCAATAATCTACGCAGCCACCGCCGAGCGCGCGGCCGCAGCGGAGCAGGCCGCGCGCCGTGCCAACGAGGACGCCGCCGCATGCCAGCGCCAGGCTGCGGCGCTCGCCTTCACAATAGAGCAGGAGCGGGAGCAGGCCGCCGCCCGCGAGGGCGCGCTGACCGCAGAGCGCGACGCCGCACGGGCCGAGGTGGCTGAGGAGCAGCGGCAGCGCAAGGCCCTGGCCCGCAAGGCTGCCGACGAGGCGAGGGCGCTGCAGGCGGCACAGGCCAACCTGCGGCAATGTGAGGATGAGAAGCGCGCAGCGCAGCAGCAGGCGCAGGCGACGGCCTCGGAGACCGCCCAGCTGCGCGGCCGCGTCGCCGACGCCGAAGCTCACGGCGCGACCATCGCAGCCGAAGGCAAGCACGCGGCGAAGGACGCCGCGCGGAAGCTGGCAGCCGCGCACCGCGAGAGCAAGGAGGCGGAGCGTCGCGCAGTGGCAGCAGAGGAGTGCGCTGCCGGCGTCAAGACACAGCTGGCAGAGGCGCAGCGCGAGGCACAGGCGCAGAGCATGGCGATTGCGGATACGCGGCGTGAGGCGGAGGAGAAGGGCGCGGCGCTGGCGGATGCAAGGCGCGAAGCGGAGGCGAACAGCGTGGCGCTGGCGGCGGCGCAGCAAGCGGCAGAGCTGAAGGGCGCGGCGCTGGCAGAGGCGCAGCGCGAGTCCGAGGCACGGGGCGCGGCGCTGGTGGCGGCGCGGGAAGAGGCAGAGGTGAAAGGCGCGGCGCTGGCAGAGGCGCGGCGCGAAGCGGAGGCACAGGGCGTGGCGCTGGCGCATGTGCGGCGCGAGGCGGAGGTCGTGCACGAGCAGCTGGTTGCGGGCCAGGAGGAGGCCGCCATGCAGATGCGGCGGTTTGAGGAGGACATGCGGGCACAGCGCGCGGCGATGGCGGAGGTGCGGAGGGAGGCTGAGGGGCACAGCGCGGCGCTGGCAGACGCACGGCGCGACGCCGAGGCTGTGCGGGAGCAGCTGGCCGCCAGCCAGCGGGAGGCCGGCGTGCACATGCGGCGGTTTGAAGAGGAGAGGCAGGCGCAGAGCGCGGCGATGGCGGACGCTCAGCGCGAGATGAGCTCGCTGGGCGCGCGCCTGGCGGCCGCTGAGTCCGAGGCGGCGACGCAGACCGCTGCAGCCGAGGCGGCGGGGCTGCTGGCGGCGGCGGCCGGCGCCAGCCTGGCAGCGGCTGAGGGGCGGCTGACGGGCTGTCAGGCGGCGCTCGAGGCGGCGGAGAGGGCGGCGGGCGCTGCTCAGGCGGAGGCGGCCGCGGCCGAGGCGCGGGCGGCGGGGGGTGAGGCCATGCGGCGCGAGAGGGATTCGCTGCGCAAGCAGCTGGCAGAGGCTGAGGCTGAGGCGGCGGCGCACAACGCCGCGGCCGAGCACAGCCTGTCAGCGCTGCAGGCGAGGCTGGCCGCTATCCAGGGGCAGCTGGCCGGCTGCGAGGCGGACCGCGAGGCGGCGCGGGAGGAGGCCCGCGCGGCGCGGGCAGACGTGGCCGCGGCCCAGGCGCGCGCGGACGCGGGCGAGGCGGCGGCGCGGCGCGAGCGCGCGGCGCACGAAGCCACCCAGAGCAAGGTGGCGGGGATCGTGGCGAAGTTCAGCGCCGCCCTGGGCGCCCTCACAGCCCACACCGAGGGCGTCTGCGCCGCCGTGGCCGGCGCCAAGCGGGGCCAGGGCTCTCGCAGCGCCGCCCAGAAGGCGGCGCTCGGCGCGGCGCGGCTGGCGGCGGCGGCGGCCGAGGCGCGGGCGGACGCGCAGGCCGCTGCGGCAGAGGAGTGGAGGCGCAAGGCTTCGACGTTCCAGGACAGCCTTGAGGCGGCCGAGGCGCGCACAGCCGTTATGGACAGGGCCTACGAGACTCTCAAGGACCAGTGCGCAGCGGCGGCGGCAGGGGCAGCGGCGGCCGAGGCGCGGGCCGCCGCCAGCTCAGCGGAGGTGCAGCGCCAGCGCGCCGAGCGCGACGCTGCGGAGGCCAAGGCGGCGGAGGCCAAGCAGTCGGCGTTTGCGGCCGTTGCCACTATGGCCGTCATGGGCAGGCGCTTCCGCGCTGCCACTAACAGTGTCGTGGGGGACAGGCGCGCGCGCAACGCCAGCCACCGGGCGGCGCTCGCGGCGGCGCGCCAGGAGGCGGATCTCGCCAGGGCAGAGGCGAGCGCCGCCAAGGCAGAGGCGGCTGCTGCCAGGTCAGCGGCGGCGGCGGCGAGCGCGCTGCCGTCGTCCTGGCTGGAGGGGCGCCGGCTGGAGCGCGCCTGCAGTGCGGGCAGCCGCCGGCTGGCCCGCAGCAGCACCAGCAGCAGCGGCAGCAGCGGTGGCGGCGTGCCGGGGACACCTGCTGCCCTGAACGGCGGCGCGTCGCGCCGTTCCAGCATTTACGAGTGCCGCAGCGGCGGCGGCAGCAGCATCTGCAGCGGCCCGGGAGGCAGCCTTGGGGCCGGCCCCGCGCCAGCGCTCAGCGCTTTGAGCGGAGGCGACAAGGCCCCGCAGCGCGCGCCGCAGCAGGCGGCCGCGGGGCCGCACTGGCCGGCCCAGGCCAAAGGCTGCAAAGTGGGCGGCGCGTGCGGAAGGATCGGCTCGGCCATCCGCCGCTGCTTCGGCGGCCAATGAAAGATCCCGGGTGTGCGGCCTGTGCGGCGCACGCGCCGCGCAAGAGTGTTTCTTTGACACAAATCGGATCAGAATGGCTTTGCATGGTGAACTGCTTCAGGGGTAGACGAGGGTGCCTAGCTCAGGCCACAAACAAGGCCGCAATCCGGCATCGTTCGGTGTTTTGCGCATGATGACCCGCTGAATGGCGCATGGGGGCAGGCGCCGACGTTGTGTGCCGTCCTTAGACCAAACCCCATGCTGCAGAGTCATTTTGTCTCCCTTTGCAGACCAGCAACTGGATTTTTGGAGTCATCACAGCCAGGCCCAGGGTGTTGAGTGCGGGATTTTGGACCCCCCCCCTGCTGCTGCTTTGTTGGACTTGGCCCCACGACTGGGCAGGACCCTTGACTAGGACACGTTGCAGATCGACAACCAGCCCTGGCGTTCATGTGCTGGGCTGCCAACTACTCTCTGGGCCTCCTCCTCAACTTGAGCGCCTGCACTCTTGTGCGGTGCGCTGACTCCACTCTGGGTCTTCCCTTGAAGTTTGAGCGCTGCACTCTTACGCTGTGCGCTGACTCTGTTCTGGGTCTTCACATGAAGTTTGAGTGCCTGCACTCTCGTGCAGTGCTGCTGACTCCATTCTGCGTCCTGCTTTCCGTGATGGGCGCCTGCACTCTTGTGCTCGGCTACGAACTTTGTTCTGGGTCTCCTTGGCTGACCAGCCCCTGCGTTCATGTGCTGGGCTGCGAACCTCATTGTCAGTTTCCTTGCATCAGCCTGCCCCTGCATGCATATGCTGGGCTCCTGGATGTGCTGATTGCATTTCACGTCTGCAATGTCACGTTGCGGCCACGTGTTATTTTAGTGATGTGTGTTGAGCAGGGACCCACAACACACCCATTGGTAATCAGTAATAATCCATAAAAGAACAACTGGAGGTCCCCCGTGCGGCTGCCTGGCTTGGGGATAAGACACTGTCTGTGACACTGACCCGACAGGGGTGTGCGGCCACAGTGCAGGCGGGGGCGTAACATCAGCAACCGTCTGTGCCCAGTAGACCCCACGATAACTATGAAACTACCTGCTACTTGACAAACTGGACAAAAGACACACAGCCTGTATGCTGCATATGCGATACCTTGCCATGTGCTGCTGTGCGCCGCCAGCTGCAGCTGTCCTGCCGCGCCTGCGCTGTGGCTGTGTGGTTGTCAGCCACCAGTTCGTGACTCTGCACGCACCTGCGCGGGCGCCCCCGGACCTCAACCCCACGACAATAATCATGACACGACCTGCTATTGGACAATCTGGACGCAAGACTCACCGCCTGTATGCTGCCCATGTGATACATCGTCACTCAGTGACAAAAGGGCTGTCGGGCTGCCGTGAGCCGCCGCATGGCTATGCTCAAACGTCCGTCAACTCAATCAGATACAATAGCTGATTGACGCATATGTACAGCCCTCCTGACGCTGTTCCGCTCGAGGCACTCGCCTAGCTGACAACAGCAGTCCTTGTCAGCATAGCCGGCAGATCCTGAGAGCCGAGAGTGCGTCATCCATATCTCAGCACGCACGTGAAAACATCAACATGGACCGTGTCAAGCGGCTCGCGGCCCAACTGCTCCCTGGCAGCATGGCTACCAAGGTGCGGGAGCTGTTCAGGGCCTTCTCTCTCTCCACGCACTTCTTGAATTGTACGTTGACCAAGCCATCATCAACTTGCGCTTCGCGCTTCCTCGCAGCCAAAGGTTGCCGTGCTCGGCGCCGCAGGCGGCATCGGCCAGCCGCTCGCGCTGCTGCTCAAGACCAGCAGCATGATCGGCGAGCTGAGCCTGTACGACGTCGCCAACACCGCCGGCGTCGCAGCTGACCTCTCGCACATGAGCACGCCCGTCAAAGTGCGCGGCTTCACGGGGCAGCAGCAGCTCGGCGAGGCGCTGCAGGGCTGCCACCTCGTAGTCATCCCCGCGGGTGAGCACGCTCGCCCCATTCACGCCCCCCTTCTTGACCATCGCCTCCCCC